CCTCTAAAAGGTTATTTTCCGGTGAACTTGTCGGTTTGGCTTCTAAGTCCGTTCTTGGACTTAGAACCACGCTCCAACCCATTTTTCTACACTTAAATTATGTAGAGCAACCCTCAAGGTTCTTCATATGATATATATCTCATATGATAGAAAGAAAATAAAGGAAAAGTTAGTATAAGGTCATTACCTTAATCTTTCTCACTTTCTCCCAACTTTTCCTTCCTAAAATCCCTCCTTTGGACTCCTTAAGCTTGAGCTTGTGCTGCAAGAATGGAGGATGGGTTGAGAGCTCCTTCCTTCTCCTCTCTTGGGGGTTGGCCGAATAATGGAAGGGAAAGGGGGGTGGGGGTTCCCCTTTGTCTCATTTGGCAAATGAGTGAGGTCAAAGGGTCCCTTTGCACCTCCTCCACTCATCCTCTTGTCAACTCTACTCTCCCTTTGTCTATTCTAGCACAAAAAAACGTGGGGTGGCCCCCACTCATGTGGGAGGTCATCCCATTGTGTCCCAATGTGTACAATCGGTCCCGAAAGTTGTATTTTTCGGACTGTTTTAAATATATTTTATTTTATCGGGTCAAATAAAATATATTATGTGTTCTTAATCATTATTCCCTTTATAATGAATATTCATTCCCAAACTTTAATTTATAAGTCCCCGAAATTCAATTTCGGGCTTTTATCGGTTAAATTATCAGTACCGATATTTGGGCTTCTTTTGACCAATCGGTCAACTCTGGACCTTTCCATGGTTCAAAAGAAGTAGCCACCACTATATAAATATTATCTTGACCAAGATAAATAAAATATATGGTTTCGGGAAAATTCGGGCGGTCCCCGCTCCCGGTGTGGGCCCCACGTGCAAATTTATTAATCACGCAAAAGAATTAATAAAAGTTCACAACTTCGTATACTTATTAACCATTCCACAAGGTTCGATACATTATTCACTTAAAAGTAAATACATTTGGGGACGGTGTTACACTTCGCAATAGATACCAATTGCGTCGCATTAAGGATATCTTGATCCTTTCTTTGTAATGCTTGAGATAATTCATTAGTAATTCCCAAGACAGTCTTCATCAAATGCAAAAAGAATGCAAAATCAAAAGTTTGTATAGAGTCTAAATGTCGCATAGCCTCACCTTTTTTATCAGATGTCACCCCATCTTCTTTGATAACTTCAAGAACATCAATCACCGAGGAATACATTTGAACTAAACTAATCAGGTTGCCATAATGAGAACCCCAGTGAGTTTCACCACTTCGCTTCAAACCAATTCCTTGATTCATGCCTCGCCCAGTTTGAATTTCACCTTTTGCAATTCCTTCTTTAACCTTAGCTGCATGTGTTTCACGAAGCAAGTCGTATCGCTTGCACGACCCCCCAACAATATTGATAAGTGTAGAAATTAAACCAAAAAACAAAGCAGCATGATCATGTGTTTTTGCTACATAAACAAGTGTGAGTTGCAACTGATGAGCAAAGCAGTGAATACAGAAAGCAGATGGATTTTCTTTCAGAATTAAACTCTTAAGCCCATTAAATTCTCCTTGCATATTACTAGCCCCATCATAACCCTGTCCCCGTATCCTTGATACACTTAATCCATACTTACTAAATACTAGATCAATCCCCTTCTTTAAAGTCAAAGCACTAGTATCTGTGACGTGAACAATCCCAATAAAATGCTCAACAGTGCTTCCATTTTTGTCAACATAACGTAAAGCAATGGCCATTTCTTCCTTGATGGATACATCCCGAGACTCATCAACAATAATAGAAAAATATTCATTCCCAAGGTCATTTATAATTGCTTTGATGGTCTCGGTAGCAGCAGCATGAACAATGTCTTTTTGAATCTTTAGGGGCAGTTAATCGATGGTTATCATGGGAATTTTGCGAAACACATTTTTTGATATCTTCATTACAAGACGCAAGAACCTTTAGAAGTTCAAAAAAGTTACCTTGATTAGAAGATGCATCAGATTCATCATGACCACGAAAAGGTAACCCTTGTTTCAAAAGGAAGCGAATGCAAGTAAGTGAAGCAGATAATCGGCGCTGGTATAGTTCACGAACTTGATTGGACTGTTTGAGGATGGCAACATCAATATGTTGGATTTGTTTCATCAGATCTTCACCCTTTCTGTAAGCAATATTATGTGCACTATTTGGCACTCCAACATGATCCCGAAGTCTACCCTTAACACTCCAATTAGAAAATCATGTGGTAACAAATGCATCCCCACCAGACTGTTTTCCATAGTCAACTTTGAAAAGATAACAATAAAAACAATAAGCAACATCCTTATTTATGCTATATTCTAACCAACTTTCAAATTCATTTAACCAAGAGGGGCAAAATCTTCTGGACTTAGTACCAAACATTCGTTGAGGAAAATCATGAGTGTGCGGCTGGCAAGGCCCTTTTTGCAAATAAAATTTTCTCACTTTATCTTGATCATTTGGATGATAACTACAAAGTTTTGGACGTAATCCAGGGTCTGTGGGCAAATCATCTACATTTACCTCAACTCGAAGTTGTTTAAAAGTATGAGACACGCTAACTTCGTTATAAATTACATCACGTCTTGGTCTTGTAACAGTAACAAAATTATACATGTCAACAATACGAAGATGCCATTTCCTCGCTCCCTTTGTAAGTCTTTCAAAATCGACATTGATCTCCGTCACTAGCCTCTCCTCCACCGCCATCAATATCAATAAGAAACCCAACCTCCTAATTTCAAATTTTCATTTTTAAGCATAACCTAATTTCTAAGAACCGCATTCCAAAAATCAATCGAATGGAGATGTAATGCAATTCCTAGCAACTGGAGCAGCGGAAAGGGACGACTAGATGGTCAGCGACTCAGCGCCCTTCTTCTCTTGTTCGCTATCGGTGAAGTAGTGGTTCTCTGGGGGCTTTCGTGGCATTCTGTCTAAGCTGAAGCAGAGTCGGGTGGAGGAAGACAGCTGTAGACCAGACGATTACAAAGCGGCGGCGGCGGCGGCGAGATTAGTGCGTGACAGTAGGATTGTGACAAAGGATCCAGTGTTGTTGATTTATTTCCCGGAGAGGGTTATTTTTCAAACTTATTTCCCAAATTAGGGTACTTCTAGACTTATTTCCCAAAGTAGGGTATTTTTCGCCATGTCATCTCATTAACATCGTAGGTCGCCACATCCGTTTATTATAAACTTTAATAAGGTTTTTATTTTTAATTGAATAACTTAACTTAATTTTTTAATTATAAGTTTAAAATGTACATGGTATTTTACATTATTAATATTCTTTTAAAAAAATTGAGGTGGACTAGTATGAATTTACTTATATTTTATTTTATTTTATTTTATTTCATTTTAAGTTATTTCAAAAAATGTTTACATATTGCAAATTATGTTTTTTATTATAAGTTTAAATTAATATTTTCTAATTAAATATTGTGAAATATGTTTTTTATTATAAATTTTTATTAGGTCTTTATTTTTTTAATTGAATAACTCAAGTTAAGTTTTTATTATATTTTTTAATTGTTTGGGAAAGAAGTATACACGGTTTAAGTATCTAGCAAAACGTCAAATGCACAAGAGAATGGATTAGTGTAGTGGTTTAGTAGCCCTTCCTCCTTGTTTGTCTAGGCAATGAGCTGAAGAGTACGGTGCTATAATTTAAAAGCTTTGATGATATTAGGCTAACCGCAACCTAGCCCGTCAATAAATCTAATCTCACACCTTTTTATACGTATTAACTCAATCAATTCAGTTTTTTTCTGCAACCCAACATTGTCAATGTATTCACTCCGCACTTTTTTTTATAATTAAATGCAAAAATCCTTACATTTTTTTTATTTTACATCGTTTATGTGACAATTTTATTTTTATCAATAATTATAATTTAAAAAGTCAAACATTTTGATGTAAAAATAAATAAATTTAGAGTTTAGTTTTTTTTTGTTATTTCGTGCTTATATTTAAAAAATAATAATGCATGAGATATTCTTTTTAGTTTTTAACATTTGGATCTACTTAAGAATAATTTTGAACCTAAATATTTCTATCGGATAAAACATCACATTTTTTTAACTTTATATATATGATATTGGTGTCATATGAAAGATTATAAAAAGTTATACATTTTGATATATTATTTATAAAAATTGAATCATTAATAAAAAAGTTATACCATTTTTAAAAAATTTGGGATTTTAATCTTTCATGCAGCTCACATTTTTTCTTAATTTGCTGAAGACACTAAGAAAGCTATTTTTTTTTCTCTCTCCAAGAGTCAATCCACCGGCTATATCCCCACCCAAGGGGTTTCCCCAACCCACTACAAGACCTTGCTATACTCTTTTTAGCTTGGGTTGGTGCTCAATTTGGGGTGAAAACCTCAAATTTGGGTTTCCACCCCAATGCATTGCGGATAGCCTTAGGGTGGTAGTTCAGCCCATTCTTAATTAAATGATCATATTTTGTCCAATTTTAGATATTTCCCTTGTTTTTTTAACGGGATAAGGGTCAGTTTGGTCCTCGAAGTTGCAAAAAAAGGGTCAAATAAGTCCTTATATAGAAGATTCTGTCCGGACGTGCCATTTGAGGTTGCTCCCGGTGGAATTTTTTGATGAAATTTTTTGAGCATCTTATTCATTAAGTCTAGTTTACTCATACCAAATTTCAGATAAAAATTCAATGGGGAAGACAATCAAATGAATTCTTGAAGATAACTGTGCCGTTAAAAGCGCTGTTATCTTCAAGAATTCATTTGAATGTCTTCCCGATTGAATTTTTAGCTGAAATTTGGTATGAGTAAACTAGACTTAATGAATAAGATGCTCAAAAAAATTTATCACAAAATTCCACCGGGAGCCACCTCAAATGGCACGTCCGGACAGAATCTTCTATATAAGGACTTATTTGACGCCTTTTTTGCAACTTTGAGGACCAAACTGACCCTTTACTCTTTTTTTAACTCGCAGACGAACACTCTTAGGTAATTATCCCCCATGAGTACTGAATGGTCGTCCAGCAACGCCAATGCCATTCCAAATCAGAGAAAAAGGCCCTTCCCAACAGAAGCTGCACTGACGACTACCATCACACACTGCGTTGTTGTCGCCGTGGATCACTCCGTTATACACTATAGAGTCTGCGCTGGATGTGAAAGACCCCTCCCTGACCCCAACCCCGACACTCCCTCGCCCGTTTGTATGTACTGTTCTTCTTCGGCATCCTCCAACCCAACACCCTCTGCTTCCAAACTTCTCTTCCGTGTCCTTGTATGAAACCGATTACCTCTATTGAGCTTTGGGTATTTTTGAATGATGGGTTCTTTGGGTTTATCGGTAAATGATATTGCAGATGTCTATAGCTACGGATACCAAGGTAATCGCGGTGATAATGTTTGACAGAGCGGCTAGGGTTCTGTTTGGCTGCTCCGCTGACGAGTTCTTTGAGTTCACCAAGACTCGTCCTTCTGCAGGTAATTTGCACTCGTCAATTTCTATATGTGGAACTCAGAAGTAGGATTTGGTGTTTTAAAAGTGGTTCGATTAGTATCTTGGGTAATAACGTTCCTTCAAAAATTAAAAGAATAATTAAACTCTGGCGATTCATGTTTCTTATTCCAGATTGGTGAGTGGCTATATTTCTGGCTGCTTCTTGAGCAGAAACAATAGCAAGCCCAAAAAGAGTGAATATATCTCGCAGCAAGTAGACATTCTGTTGAAGGGCAAGTCAATGTTTTGTCTCTTGTCGAAGTCTGGCCTGAGGTGTCCTGGCCTATTTAAGTCTGTCTGTTCTTGGACCGAAATTAGTCCAACTAAAAACATCCTTAGATCCTCAATGTTTCTGGTTTTGCTTTGTATTCTTTCGGGGTCAATTTCTTGCAATCTAGTCCCTCAAGTATTCTTGAACGTAGTCATTTAAGTCCCTCTGGCCTTAGTAATAAAGGCATGCAATTTTTGATGTTTTGTTTTGTTCCATAGTAGCATCAAGGCCATCAAGTAGCAACCGATTGAACAGTTTGAATGACCAGAATGCACTGAATTGACAGTGAGAGACTAATTTGAGGGACTAAATTGAATTTTCTCATTTATTAAATGTTTCCATGGGTAGGGACATTGTAACATAAAATCAAAAGGTTAATTTACAAAAAATGGAAGACCTTAGATGTCAAAGTAAGAGAAGAAGAAAAGCTGGTGATTCTCTGCAAAGAATGAAGCTATTCAGATCACCGTTATATTCTACTAATTGAGTACATTTAATGCAGCTAGAAGTGCAGGTAAAGCTCTGGAAGGGGAGATGCTGAGGATTACATTGTCACAGCCCAAAAGTGGGAATGCACGTAATCTCAGAGTGGTTTCAGTTGTTCCCTTGAGGTCTGGTTTTCAGCCCATTATTACAACTTTGAGGGAATTGTATTTAGTGAATGCTGTCTTGTAATAATATTTTTGATTTTTGATGTCACAGAATCTCTCACGTCTTCACTGACATGATTTTCTTTTTATTTGCTCCTGCTTTGTTATCTTTTTAGAAAATGTATGTTTGTGTTATATCATTTTCTGATAATGAAATTTTGGTGAATACTCATGATTTGATTGAAAAGTACGTAAACCATGGAATAACGTGCACATAATGTTTACCTATACTGGTTCTTTCTATGTGGGTTTTTGGACCTTCATTGGTTTCACCGAGTGTACCATAATAGTTTCGGGTTAACCAAAGTACAACACAATGATTTCTTTTCAAGAGTTGGTAAAATATTTGGGTTCCTTTTATAGAAGATCAAAATGACTTAAAATTTTACTACTTATAAAGAAAGCCATAATGCTTTTGGATGAAGGATTGCTTCTGTGTCTTGTGTTTAATATGTAATTCCTGATACATACTGCCTTATACCTGAAATGTTTACTTGTTTATCTGGTACATAGTGAAAGGGCCATTTTAGATGCAAATTTGAAATATAAACCCATAGGTTGAACTTTCATGTACATGAATAAATTAAACTTTCATACCAATGAAGCAATATAAAACAATAATACTTTTGGGTTGTTGTTTCTTTATGGTAATTACATGGGAGATGCCGTTGCGGTAAGTTTGCCTTGCATCCACCTCTGGAGCATTACTAATGCTGCCTTGGGCTGATCCATTGGAACCATGTGGCCAGCATCATTGACCTTTAGGAAAGTGAGTGGTCCATAGCTCTTTTGTGTTCCTTTCACCTTTCCATCAACAGTAAATGAAACATTAGGTGCTATGCCGAAGTTTTTCTGACCAGGCCATTCCATGGCATGAACCCATCTTGAGTTTCCTGTGCATCCAAAAAACAGGTGCAGTTTTATAATTATTAGTTACTGATATTGTTATGATTATTAGTATTATTACTATGTTTATTAATAATATTATAAGTAGTAGTTTTACTAGTAGTATTTTTATGTTAAAGCTTTGTATTGGCATTCTCTTAGTAATAGTACTAGCATAAATGACCCAAAGCTTAATTAGGTATATACCAAGCCAGTTACATATAAGATCATATTCGCCAGCATATATAAGCATATTGATTCCATCCTCAAGCAGGGTAGGAATGCCAGCTTCGAGATTTCTCATCCAATCCAGTATCATGGCCTCGTACACATCACTATTACATGAAACAAAATCAATGTTTCCAACCCCAAGAGCTTTCCTAACTCCTTTCGTATTGAGGTAAGTTTCCATGTTTGAGAAGTCATAGCAGAGAGGTCCATCACAGGTTTTCCGAATATCATAGAACTGCATTTCAGAATAGACATGATTTTTAACTTTTTTATGAGATATTGCAAACCATAAGGCAAACGTCAAGGAACTGATTATATCTTATTTTTTGTTTGGTCGAGGTAAGTTATTCAATAGGCCTGAGCGTAATTATTTTTGGTTTACCTGGGATTTTTATGAGATCAAATACTTAATTGTAAGCTAACCAAGCATTCCAGCCCAGCTTAGTGGGAGGTCTCGAGTTTGAAACCCGCTAGGCACATAAGGGTTCGAAACTCTATGGAGCGAGTTTCAGCCCTGATTACTCCAGGCTCCCCCCAGCCCCCCTCCCCCAGACCCCCCGGAGTAAAAAAAAATAAAAATAATACTTAATTGTAAGCTATATGATAGAAACCAACTTATTTTGTTACCAGCTAATTTTGTTACAACATTAGTACTCCTGTGCGCCAAAAACAAGATTTCCTAATTTCTTACATTTTTATCGCCTATAATCGTCCTTATCTCATTGAAGATCTTTGTGCATGTATAAAAAGCATCCTGACAAGCATCTCCCCCCTCGGTTCCTGGTGGAAAGACCAAAATGCATGGAAACTCGATATCAGGGAAAAACATATACCAAATTGAAGAGTATAATCAGAATACAGATTGAATAAAAGAGCTAATTTACCACAACTCTTAATTCCTGCTTGACAAGCCGGAATGTCCTTGTTTATTCTGTAATAATCACTCTTATTGATCAATTTTTGCTCCAAAGCATAGTCAGTATAGGCTGAATATTGGATTGATGGATCTGTGAGTCCGTTGCCAATGGCAAATCCCTGGTTAAATATCGCAAGCCGAACAAGGTTCATCACAGCGTTGAACGGAAACCCAATTACATATGAAGTATATTGTATTGGAAATGGACTAGGCTGCTATATATATACATACCTTCAGGTTTATATGAATTCCTTCCTTCATCTTGTTCCCCTCGTTAACACGAGAAGCAAATGCAGGAATGTAATGCCCAGCATATGATTCTCCCGTTATGAAGAAATCATTTTCGACATACTCGGGGTGTTTCTCGAAAAATGCCTGCCCATTCATGCCATTTTACAGAACTGATGAGTTTTGCAGAACTAATCAAGAATTAGTATGACTCAAAATATGTCCGTAACTGATCAATTATCTTGAGACTATTGTAACATTTTCATTAATATGATTTTACTAAGCAAAAGTGGCTATTTTTATGTCTGAACAAAGAATGTAACGAATTCATCTTCATGTCCCTTAGTAAATGAAATAAAGTACCCATTCAATTCATGACGAGTAAATTTAGTGAGCATATCAACATACTCACTACGGAGTATGTTGGCGTAATGAAGAACGAGAATTCTCCCATTTTAAAAAATAGTTAAGCTAGACCTGCAAGAAGTCGTAGAGGTCATTGCTAACGCCATTTTCGTCATGGCGAGTGTCACTCTGATCTGAACTATAGCTGAAACCAGTTCCAGTTGGCTGATCCACATAGATCAGGTTTGAAATCTGCAACCAATGGAATATAGCAATGAAATTTCGTCTTGGGTCATTAAATTGCACATTATGGAATATAATGACTTTTCAGTAAAGTGTTAAAAGTTTAATTCGAAGTGCTTCAAGTCAATAAGGAGTTGAACCACTCTAGGCTCGTTCACGTGTACTAGCTGGCTAGAAAGAATCTCACTGTTTTATTTTTGGAATAGAAATAATCTCACTGTTGGTAATGGGATTTTTAAATTAACAAAAATACATAATTGAATTATTTGGATTGGAATTTTGTATATTAGTGCTTTAATAAGCGGGAAATGTGTCCACCACTTATTTGAAGTATTTGGTTTTTGAAAGCGAATTAAGCGATCAAGAATCGTCACCACTTTAAAAATTAGATCAATTTTAAATAATATGATGCCCTACCTATAAAAAGAGATCCAAAGATTTGTTTGTCGGTTTTATGTGCGTATTTATTTGAGTGATGATGCATACATTGAATGGTTTAATGAAAGTTCAAAGATTCATTATAAATGTACTCGCATTCCTTAATAAATAGCAATTTGTCTCAAACATCACTTCGGTTTTTGGGATTTTGGGATTAGGATGTTTTTATATAGATGGATTTTGTGGAAACATGTATGACTCCACTATGGAATCGTATGGTCATATAAATGTGACTTTATCTCATTCATTTTGGTAGTGGGCTATCCAACTCTAAAAATGAATAGCTATAGTAAGGCGGTATATTATACACAACTTCACAATGATCGAAGTTCAATCGAGACCCAATCGAGACCAGCAAGTAGAGACCAAATCAGTGCAGACCAAATCATATAGACAATTGTGAATATGCTTACATCCTAAAAGTTCTACTACGTATTAGGTTTAAACAAATTAGGTATAGACCATTAAAAGATCTAGTTCAATTAAAAACATCCTAAAAGTTTTACCACATTACTGTATTACTCCGTATAAGATAGTATCAGCAATTAAAAGAAAACTTTGGATTCATTCATTGATAATATGATTAGTATAAATCTTCATTTCTAAATCCTTCCTTAAACTTGCTCGTATGACTGCTCAAGTTATTTGTACCATCCATCTATCCTAAATTTCATTTTATTAACAACATTTTCTATGCAACTACTTTCTCCCATGAGTTCTCTTCATCCTTAAGGATGTTTGGACTGTAATTTGCTGGTCTGGTCTGGTCTGATCTGGTCTGGTCTGGTCTGAACTGGTCTGGTTTGGTCTGGTAAGGTCTGGTTTCTTTGTATTTTTATAACTATCCAAGTCTGGTCTGGTCTGGTCTAGTCTGAACTGGTCTGGTCTGGTCTGGTCTGGTCTGGGACAAATTACAATCCAAGTAAAAACATTGTATATACTACTTTTATAGTACTCAGTATATTTTATCTTACTTTTATAAAAGAAAAACATGGTAATGGAAGTAATGCGTCAAACATGATATGAAGTATTCCGTACTACGAAGTATATAAAGACAAAGGGAAAACTATCAAATAAGCCCCTGTACTATGTCGAAAAAGTCAATTAGGCCCTCGTACTTTAGAAACACTCAATTAAGTCCTCAAACTATTAAAAAATGTTCAATTAAGCCCCTTTGGTCGGTAAGTAACCGGTTTCCCGGTTAAACGGAGACGACGGCGACGATGTGCTCGAACCCCAGCAACGGCGTCTGTCGGGAAACGGGTTACATTTAATCGGGAAACCGGTTACTTACCGATCGAAAGGGCTTAATTGAACGTTTTTTAATAGTTCAAGGACTTAATTGAGTGTTTGTAAAGTACGAGGGCCTAATCGACTTTTTCGGTATAGTATGGGGCTTATTTGATAGTTTTCCCAAAGACAAACAATAATAACATCCATCTCTTTATTTCTCAAATAGTTTGACTCCCACTTTTACAGTTTTACTAGGGGACAGTTTTTTTCATTAGTATAATCAATTATCTATTAGATACAAGCTTACAGTATTCACGTTCATGCTTCTGACATAATCTCAATATTTGTAATTCTTACCTTTTAATATTTGTCACATAAACGTTTTAGAAATTATCTCATCTCCTCTGAATTACTTTCAACCATCATCCCCAAATAATCTGATCTTTTGTGGGTCCTGTAGACTCTTGCAGTAACTAATTAACTCTAATTTCATAAATAATTTCAAAAATCCGGTTTCATATTTTGATCTCGGATTACACTATCAGTTAATCCCGCCCAATAATCTCTCTCACTTAACCATGCTCTCCGAA